GTTACTCACCCCTGCACTAGACTATCTTCTAATTTATCTATCTAAAATATATTCTATCCCCTCCAAACACCACACACACACTCACACACAAACACACACACACACACACACACACACACACACACCAATACACAGAGATGGAGTTTTGATATAGTAGAACCATAATTGGCATGGGAGACAGGAGAACAGGGTTTGGAGCTCAGACATTTACTAGCTCTGTGATCTTGCAGTAAGAAGTAACATGATATATCTGGACTTCAATTTCTCCATCTTCACAATGAAAGACCTTGAATAGCAGACCTTTAAAGATTTTTCCAGCTATAATATACTGCAATTGGGTATATGTATGGATATAAGTATATGTTTCATATATTCATATAACATACATATTTCGTATACACATATATAACACAAGTGTATATGTTCATATATTTATATATGTCTTTAGGCTACAATGGAAATACCTTTTAATGTTGCTGGAGAATAGTGGTATTAACAACTGCCTTATAGATTTTGACTAGTTTTATTTCAGGGAATGTTATTTTATGCAATGAGCATTTCTACTATGTACCAGAAATATTCATGTGTATTTAATTCTTGTATATAAAATTTGGTTATTTTGGGTTTCCATTGCATTTCCAATGCACTGAATATAATTCTTTTCAAGAATGTTAACAATTAATATCCCCTCCCCCTCACATAACAGAATATCAGAATATTAGATTTATAAGGATGTGTCACCTTAGAATACATCTAAGAGAATCCTTTCACTTTACCGTTGAGGAAAAGGAGGCCAAGAATGATATAACACGATATAGAAGATAGGGCACTTAACTTGGGTTAAAGAAAATCTGGGTTCAAATTCCATCTCAGAAATTTACTAGCTGTATGATTCTGGCTAAGTTTTTAAACCTTTCTGGGACTTGGTTTCCTAATGTGTAAAATAAGGAGACTAGATTTGGCGACCTCTCAGATATTTACAGCTCTAGACTGATGATTCTATGAGCCTGTATAGTGTTTTGTTCAAGGTCACTAAGTTAATATCAAATTAAGTGTTTGGATCCAGGCCTTCTGAGGCCAAATCCATTGTTCTTTCCACTACAGCACACTCCTTCACTATTATCAAAGGAATTTCTAATCTTGACTCTTTGGCTTTATCTAGATCAGAAGAGTAGAGAGGAGTTAAGCAGTTACCTAGGAAATCTTGGAAGTATTGCACATATGCATGTTAACCAGGCCGCTTATCACAGACACATAGAGCAAGGTCTTAAGTAAATTAGGTTAAAAACAACAAAAGTTCTCCAAATCAATACCAATCACAGTACTCTTACAGTATTAGAATTTCAGCCTATCAATATTTGTCATAATATTCTAAGTGGAAAAATAACTAGTGGATATATGACTATTCTATCTTAGGTTTTCTAAACTTATGTAAATGAGCATGAGAATTATAAGTAGTGAGCATTTCTATGGTACTTTGAGATTTGTGAAGTGCTGAACATATATTATTTCATTTGATCTTTCCAACAGCCCTGTGAGGTGTGTGCTATTATTATCCTCATTTTACAGATGAAGAAACTGAGGCTGAGAGGTCATTAATCCAGGGTCTGAGGCAAGATTTATATTCAGGTCTTCTTGACTTCAACCAACAAAATCCACTGTGCCACCTACCTGCCTCAAAATGTTACTTAAAATGTTATTGACCATAGGCTTACATTAAAAAAATCACTTCTGTATACCAAATTTTCTTGAAATTTACTTCGTTACCATTTAAATGTAAAATCTCCATCTACCAAACTTTAACTCATCTTGATATTTGCTTTATTTTGTCACACTTAAACATTAGTTTATAATTCAAAAACCATTTCATCTGCTCTTCCTCCTTCCCTTCAGTATATAAACACTGTATCCAGCAATCCTGTTGAAAAGAAAATGAAAGTTCAATCTAAATGGCAACTAGCTTGTCTTTGGTGATTAAAATATATATAACCCAGGAACTATATCCATATATGTTACTTTCACTAAGCAAGATCTTATTCAAATTAATGACATGTTCTCTGATGCAAGAGAACTGAATATGGACAATTTAGAATATTATGGAACACCAAATAGAAAGATAATATTATATTAAAAATGACTTTGTTTCATTTGCCCTATACAAACTATAAAAGCCACATCTGGTCCATGCCTGATTAAAAGACTTATGTTGTTTAAAAAAAAGTAATTAATAATGAATCTCATAAAAGAATGCCAACTGTGATTTAAACTCATAATTGGGAACCAAGTACTTTAGTTAGAATTGTACAAGCAACATTTCATTTCACAGAATGGGATATTGAAAAATATACAGTGTTTCATCAAAGGAATACAAAGATACTGAGATTTGACTCAAGGCCAACTAAGTTAATTATGAAGTAAGATCTAGGTTCTCTGAAAGTTTATTACACACTTTCATTTTTAATCCGCTATTTGGAAAGATGGAAGACTGGAACATAGTAGATCACAGTAGAAGTTTAGATTCACTATTGAAATAATTGACATACTATATTAACATAATACTTCTTTGGCAAGACTGCTATAACACCAACACATCACATCGACAATAATGTGAACCTAAATTTTGGCTACTGCTAACACAGGTAGAATCTCATTATTTAAAAAAACAAAAAGGACAAGGGCAAAAATAGCAATTTTTAAATAATTAACAGTTGAAAAAAATTTACTGTTCTATTTGGTAATCCAATTCTTAAAAAAAAAGAAAATAAATGTCATCTTCAATTGTATAAAATGTTTTTTCTGTGCTCTAGTGTTCAATTCCATCACATCCCACTCCATTCCTCATTTATAGAGATCCTACTGCCTCACCACCTTATGCCTGGCATAAAATAAACCTAAGTTAAATCCCAGGGGGTGGGTAGGGAGGACATTTTCCAAGGGAAAATTTAAGAATTGGATAGACAAAGGGAAGATATTAAAAAAAAAAACCAAAGAGTAGAAATGTAAAACATCTTTTTGGGGGGGGAGGGGAGGGAAATTTTAAAAAAAGGTACTCTTACTAAGTTGAATAATGCTCATGAGACCATTATAGATTATTTGTTATTGTTTTTTCTCTTGGCCAGATTCATAGGATCATAGACTGAGAACTGGGAGAGATCTTAGAAATCATCCTGTCCAAAGGCCTCATTTGGAGATAAGGAAACAAGCCTGGAGAGTAACAGACCTTAACTGACTTTGTTCAATTTCAAGTTTTAAGTAACAAAATCTGGATTTGAACCCAGGTCCTATATTTCAAAGAGAAAGCTCTTTCCACTAATTCTTTACATAGGGACTGCCTCAATATATAGCCCATAAAAAGCTTGGGATACTTTATGCATTTTTTTTTAAATAAAAGGCCACACCAGGGCCTTGCTTCACAGAGTTCATCTTAAGAATTATAAAACTGTATTGGGTCTAAAACCTTCTAGTCACTCCCAAATAGCACAGCTCTTACACAACTTATTTAGTGATAGGTTTTACATAAATACAGAGAGCATTTTCTAAAATAACTGCCAACCTTCTGCCTCCCACTCATCTAAGTCAGTGGTGATATTACTAGGGGTGGTAATTTAACGTTACCATATTAAAAGTAAACTATATCCTTGGTTCATTGTTAGCAGCTCTACAACCTGCAGCTTGATTATCCATAACAGCTTTTGAGCCCACCAACCTACTCCAATCCCTTCGGGGGGCCAGTAGTTGGTGTGGGAATACAGAGAGGTAAAACCGAATCAAAATGATGAAGATAATAGCGACCATTTATAGAGCACTCTACGGTTTACAAAGCATTTTACATGTTATCCGATTTGACACCCCCCACTGCACCAGTGCCATGGACTTCGCCTTGCAAATTATTTTTATTTATTGAGTCTCACCTATATCAGTAATTCCAAAATGTAAGTGACTCATTAGGAGGATGCAGGCAACAGCGGATTAGGGTTGCCTCTCCCTGGTTTTTCTTTTGGCTCCAACCATCCCACTTGTTTCAAGTTCAATCACTTGAGCACGGGTGCCTGTTGCACCTGTCTCTTCTTTCACAAACATGAACACTGGACAAAGCAGACTTCTTGTTGAAGCTCTGGCGAACCAAGGGTGTCCAGGTTTTTTTCCTGAAAATATTGAAGGAAAAATCTGTTCTCAACCTTTCCATGAATCTTCTAGGTTGGTGAAGAATTTTCTCCCTCCAACCCCCAGCTATGCAGGTAAGTGTATGAGAGAGAATATTACTGCAGCACCAGTCCTACCCCCTCCATCACCTAACTCTTCCTGCCCTGCTCTTCAACCAGCCTCATTGCAAACCCAGTAACTAATGAGAGCAGAGATACCAGATATGTGACTGAATCTGAGCTGGCACGGAGGAAAGGACCCAGACACTCACAGGCAAATAGTGCCACCTGGTAGAAAATCATTAGTGGTTCTAAAAAAACATTTTTTTTTTTAATGCCCTCCTACTTCTGTTGTCAAATCGCTTCTCCACGTTTCCTAGGCAGGCAGTTTATTCTGGTGCCTCCGAGGAGGGGTGGGAGAACGTTGCAAGCGTGTTCAAAAATAACTCACAAAGATCTGAATCTCAGAGCGTGCCAAGCACTTTTGTTGGAGTGTAATACTGTCTTCGGATGCCTTCTGGGATATGGTGGTTGCATTTCCCCTGGCAGCCCCACGGGGTTAGGTACCATTTCTCCACCCCTGGGACTCGGGAGAGAGCTCAGATGCTGACTTTGGGAGTTCCTTTTATGCTTTCCTTCTATGGAGAGCAGCTCATGGTCGGGCTCTTCTAGGCTCATCTGACACACTCCCCTCCTACCTCCCACCCCCAACCACCACCCTGTGACTTTCCCAGAGCCCGTCTGCTCATTGCAGAGAAGAAGCAAGAAGAAACCTCGCTTTTCCACAAGTCTGCCTCTTCACTCCCCCTCCTTACTTCCCCCTCCCCATTACCGTCACCCCTCCTCCGCCCCCGCCTCCGCCTCCTCCTTCTACTCTGCAATCAGGGGAATAAATCAGGGAAGGAAACAGAGAGAGGGAGAGAGGAGACAGAAAAGAGAGCGCTTGCCGAGATCTGTTACAAAAGTAACCCTGATGGCGGCTGATCAGATGAAGCTGCTGTGGGGAGTAGCAGTGAGCGTCTAGTGTGTTTTTCTCTCTCCACCGTCCCTCATTCTAGATCTCGATTTTGCTCACCCTACCTCCCCCACCGAGCCCCTCCCCATCCCTGGCACCTTGCTTGCGTTATCTCCAGGCGTCTTTCTTTGCAGTGTGTGCATTGGTGTTTTGCCTTTTCTCCCCCTCTCCCTCCTGGTTTGTTCCATTATCATTTTTATTTTTTTTTCCCTGAGTTGGGGAGGGAGTGAGAAGCGGGGGGGAAGAGAGAGAATCGATCTTCTATCCCGAAGATGGCTGCTGGCTGGCTGCTAGTCTTTAGTCTGACACTTTTCCAATCTTTGCTGATCAACCCTTCATCGGAAGAACCTTTTCCTTCGGCAGTCACGTAAGTCCACCCGAGGAGTTGGGGCTGGAGAGGGATGTGGACAACGTCTGCATGTATGTGTGTGTGCGTATGTGTATGTTTGTGTGTATATCTCTGTGTGTGTGTGTCTGTGTGTGTGTGAGACTGAGAGAGAGATCAAGGAAGGCAGAGAGAGAAAGAGCGAGCTAGAGAGAGTTGGGGGCGGGGGCTTGTAAATTACCAGGAGTTCCTGGCTCTCTTGCTTGGGGGGAGAGGGGGAGGGAGAGAGGAGGAGGAAGAAATACCAGAATCTAAGATGAAAATGACAAATGAGGAGGTATTTGCAGGGTTTACGCTTAGAAAATAAACATGAAATCCGAAATCTCCCACATCGGGTATTGGTTTAGGGCTTGGCGGTCTCAGGCAAGAAAACATCCACATAGAAAATGAGCGACTTTTAAAAAATCCAGGGGTTTTCCACTACTTTAGCCCATTTCTCAATTGCCCTCTTTACAGTTTAGTTGTGTTGAGAGAAAAGTTTCCAGTCGGACACATGTTCACATGTAACCAGGCCCTCCGGAAAGCTTTGATTCTTTTAAGATTTAGTAGACACATACATATGAGTTTAATATAGATGTATCTCTTTTTCTTTTTTTCCCCTTAGTCCTGAGTCAGCAGAGGGCTAACGTCTCCTGTACTTAGCCTCAGATTCGATTGTAATTGCCTTGTTAACAAAACTTGTTTAGTTGACAATTGATTGGTTGCACTTGACAGCTATTCTTACGTGATGTGTATCTCCCTTCAGGACTTCCGAATGTTTTGTCACTTCTAGTGGACTTGCTGGGGGTCCTAGGAGCATGTTATCCTTTCCTTCTTGTCCTTTTTAAATTGAACTATGCAAACAAAGCTGAGCCATCCAGTTTCTGTAGTTAAAATGAACAATAGGGAGTTGGGGGCTCTCAAGAAATCTGGTTTGTGAAGGAAAAACTAAAGAGTTATTTATAGGGCCGTTTGAATTTTTTTCCCTCTCATTGTCACAAAACTAACACGGCTTGTTAATGATAAGGCTGCAGTTTATTGTGGTAACATGGCTTTTAAAGGTAGCCAGATTCTCATGGAAGGTGTGGGGTTGAAGAATAATTTCCTCTACTTTCACAAGAAACATTATAAAATCTTAGGGAGATAATTTCATGTACTTACATACAAATAGCTATACATATATGTGCACCTACATATCATCATTCACATTTATAGCTATGTGTACTGAATAACCTAACAGGCATTTTGGGAAGCATTTATTTTAGTTCCTGAAACTGGGTTACAGCTACCACCAGTAGGTAATTTTAAGTGGATGACTCACTTTAATGCATTTTACATAACAAAAACAAAGCCAAAGGTAGCCTTCTCTTTCCTGGTATTTTGTGTTATAAAGGATTTGTTGTCCTTTGCTGGCTTAGTGATGAAGACTTGAGTTTTTGGTTTTTTGGGGTTTTGTTTTGTTTTGTTTTTTAGTAGATACAAGCCCTGTATTTCCACCAACTGGGACTCTTTGGAGGAGTTATTAATAGATTCGGTTCCCAGTCTTTGTTGCATTAGATATCAGTGGAGGAAAATAGAGAATTTGCACACTAAGTGAGAATGTAACACCAATACTGTTTTGTTTTTCTTTTATCAAATAATGTAAAAAAAAAGTCTCTTCTAGAGCATCTTCTGTAATAAGAATTGCTTCCGCACACTTAATGTTGAGGAAATAAATAAATAAAGTGTGATAATTGGCAAGATATCCAGGTGGTGACACTGCATGTTAAGGAAAGGCAGAGTTAGCCAAATAATGATGCCAAACTATTTACATCAGATTCAGATTCTCATTTCTATTGCTGTCAGGAGGGTGACCTATAAAGTGAGTACTTAAATGAATTGCTTACAGTTTACAAATTGTAAGCTCTTCTCCCATATAAAGTTACGATTCTTCCAAGTGTAGTTATCTCCACAATGCTTTGACTTTACATTTACTTGACTTGAGCAGCATTTTGTGCCCGTGGTTTTTGAAACTGACAGTATTCATTCATAGTTCTTGAAAACATTTTTATAGAAATGCATCATTACTGTTATGAAAGTATTGGTATTTTAAAAATTCAATTGAAAAAAATGTCCCCTTGAAAAAAATTGCAAGATCAACTTCTTGAAAATGTATCCGTAGACAAATACTAAATCGCAAGTCCTTCCTGAATTAGAGTAATTTTCAATAAATGCTTTTCTTAAACTGAAACAACTAATTGATTCTTTTTTAACTAATTGATTTTCAGTGGTCCAAAACTGAAACGTGCTCAACTACCTGTTCATTAAGAAGACTTGAGGGTAACCTCATAAGATACAGCAGATACAGACTTAAAGGAGATGTTGCTGTTGATTTATTTTAAATAGAGTTCAATGATTTTCTTTTTTTTCCCCTACTAGTAGAGAAAACATACAAATGATACAATTTACAATTGTCCAAAAATGAGATTTCAGAATGAATTACGTCAGAAGTAAGAGAATAAGCAGTGATTTGTACTGACTAGGGGAAGAAAGGAATACAGTTTACAATTATTCAAAGATGGGATTTCAGAATAAATTACTTCAGAAATAAAATTATAAGCAAAATTTTGTACTGACTAGGGGAGGGGGGGATGGCCCCCAGTAAGTGACATTTACACTCTTTTTGACAGGATATCTATTTGAAAAGTTGGTGTTATCCATGCTTGATCAGAGGCTGCAATATTAGACCTTTTTCCTCCCTCAGCCAGGCTCAATTTATGATCAAACTTCATGAAAAGGAGAATAAGACATGATGATTTCTATAATATATTCTTGTCCACTTGCTTTTCCTTACATCCTCTGCATTAGAAACTATAATTAGGATAGGTTATTTGTGTAAGCTTAACATCTAGTGTATATGTTATATCTTTTAAAAATTAATTTAAATGTTATCATCTTCACTGAATGTGAGTAAAATGCTTTCATATTTTAAAATCATTTATAGAAATAGATCTTTTATACAGTCTTCCCTTTGGTCTTTTTATTGTTTCAGAAATTGTAGCATCCTAGTGTTAGAAGGAACCTTTAATAAATAATCAGAAGAGGCAACAATATACTCCCACCATCAGAAAATTTTGAAGCACTACAATACACTGATTTGATTGGAACCTAAGCTGGAAGTGGTCATTCAAAATTAAAATAAGATACCATTATTTTATACGGTATGACATCTTAACACTGTTGAATATTATATTATGCTGATATAGAAGAAATATAAAGCAGACTAAATACATCCTTAAGGTCTATGCTTCTGACTTTACCTACCTTAAAATATAGCATTTTCACTGTAATAAAAGAGTAGCTCTAACCTCATTAAACAATAACTATGTTCTATTACTAAGAATTAACATTAAAATTGGTGATCTGTGGCAGACAAAGGAATTCTGATGTTTTCATTTCATATTTAATAACTTTGTTATTAGTTTTGCTAAAATCAGATAAACCTAAATATCCTAACAATGATCTACTAGGGATTGTCTTAGAGTGAGATGTGAAATACAGTGATTACATACTTGGCCTTTGCTAGGAGCCTAGCTTTTTTTTTTTTTTAAAGCGGCTTTCAAAGTAGGGAGCCATCTCTTAGTTTTAGAAACAGTTTGTTAGAGCATCTGCTCCAACATGCTAGATTTAAAATGCAAAATATCAACACACCCCATTATACTAATGCACTTAAGTAAAGGTCTCTCTCTGTGATTTCTTAGTGTGTTGTTCTAGCCACCACGCTATATATGTTTTCCAAAAGCTTTCCATTTATAGCTCAATGTCATGTAAAGCCTTTCCTCCTACATCATACCTTATTTCTTATGCAGTCTTTCAAAAATGCCAGAGTCAAATATCATTCATGACATAGCTATTGTTATTTGGGGATTGTCTGATCTGCTTGAGTCTGTATGGAGAAAATTAGAAATTTAACTCCTCCAAGTGGAATTCTATTAAAAAAAAAACCAAACTCAATTTTTGACTTGAATATCCAAGACAACATTTGAAAGTGATAAGACAATTTTTGTTGGTCAGACATGGCATGAGAAAAGGTATTGTTTCTATATCATTCCTGATGTGACCACTCAATTCTCTTCAATGTTTAGCTATGACTATTCTCACATGGTACATGTTAAACTGTGCTTCTCATGGCTCAAGAGGCAAAATGAAGAGGAAAGATGAAAGAATACGGTATTCCTACATTTCTTTTGCCACTTGTCTTTCCCATCAGCTGTTCTCCAAAATGTCTAATGCTACAGGTGATTAAAACTTGCAACAGAGTTGCTTTTCTTTAAAAATGACCACATAAATTTAAATGCAGTTGCGTATGTACCACTATAGATATACCTTTGCATTAGACTGTGTTGGGAACACACTGACATTCTTGTTGGACACACACATACACAATTTGGAAAAGTACAAGAAAGAAGACAAGTTAGGAAGAGCTAAGCTCAAATGAATTTGCTGTCCCTTTCTTTCTTCGATTACTGTAGACAGATTTTCCCCAAAAGTGGCAGTATCTTTGTGAAAAATGCCAAGATATGTATGTTTAAATTAAAGCCTATTTTTTGTTTAGCATTTAATGTAAGACCTAACATCTGAAAAGATTTTATACTGTAATCAAAAAGGTCAATTAACTCTTTTCTGTTTGAATGAAATATAGCTGTTGCTCAACATCTTTTATTGATGATATTTCCTGAACTTCAAACCAAGAAAAAGGTAAAATTAATTAAAATTCCCTACTTGTCTTCTTTCTGAGATATGGTCAAAGTGTAAAATGTGCAAGCTACATATTGCACACAAAGTATGACATTTATCTAACCTGTGCATAATTTTAAATAGCATTCATTTATAATTCTGTTGGGAAAATTATATTGTTCAAAATTCCCAAACTAAGAGTATATCTTTCTTTTGACATAAAGATACTTAAGCTTTTCTCTTTTTTTGAATGCATTTATTATTTGAACATGGCCACATTTTTAAAA